GATGTTGGCCCATGCTCCCTCTACTGTAAAAAATGAACACCTCTAGCTATGAGGCCATGAGAATAAAGGTCTGACCTTGAGTAGCTTTAACAAAAGATAGGTGCTAGACCATCCGGCACCAACACCATAGCAGGGACAGAACACACTAGCCCATCCGGCACCAACTGCCATAGCAGTGAGGGGCTGGGCATGCGGGCGATGGCGGCCACCTGCTCATCGGGCGACGGCGGCCACCTGCTCAGCGGGCGATGGCGGCCACGATGATGGCCACCTCCTCAGCGGGCGCTGCCCTCGGCTTAGAGAAAGACCCCTGGGAGGAGAGGAGCTCATGGACGGCGGGGCAGCCTGACCTGATGTTCCTACCTGCAGCAATCACGGCTTCCCCTTATAAATCAATGGTCCTCGACTTTCCCAATACAGTTCTTCATGTTGTGGTGACCCCAACCATAAAATTATCTCATTGTTACTTCAAAACTGTAATTTTGCTACTGCTATGGATCATAATGTAAACGTCTGCTTTGTGACCCCCAAAGGGGTTGTGATCCAGTGGTTGAGAACTATTGCTATGAATGCTTCTAAAACCAGCCTCAAGGGCCTTAGGTAGTGGTGTGTGTGTGCATGCGTGTGTGTGTACTGGGGTGGCCTGCACGCCAACTAAGGGCACTATCATTCACACATCTTTGCCACTACCTAAACTTTACAGGAAAAGCGGATTTGCTTAGTCACAAGCCAGCTCACTACTCTGAAAGGCGAGAGGCATGAAAATGTTCTGTGTTCTCAGTCTCTGAAGGCTGCACACATTTGTTAGTGGCAGCACTGGGAGTTTACTGTTCCCTAAGAACTGTGAGCTGAGAAGGTTAGTGATATCCCTGACCTGAAAATGTGTCACACATCTGGAGTGTTTTTCTGGATGTCTGTGTTTCATGCCACATCTCACACAGTAGAAAAAAACTACAGGAAGACCCCCTAGTCACTGTAAAAGTCCCAGGTGGAAAGACCCAACACAAGAAAGAAGAGTGGCAGGTAGAGATTGTATCTAGCTGCTAGCTCTTCAGGTCAGGCCACAGGGGCAGCTGCAGATAGTCGGCCTTGGTGCCTTGGCATCTTAGGATCAAAGAGAAGGCCTGGGGACGGGCTCTGTCTAGACAGCTATACGCACAGAAAACAAGGGCTTATGTTGCTGACAGGAAAGCTATCTCCACAAATAATGCAAGGGCCCTGAGGTCACAATACAGAATTTTCTAGAATGACTCACGAGTTGGGTTGCAGACCCATTACCAACACTCTGAGACCGGCCGTTCGACTCACCTCTGCACACCTTCAACCAGGGCAACCTCATCAGGCGAGGACGATATATACACACAGGACTTTGAGTCTGGAGATTTCTGGGGACCATCGACATCGTCCCCAGGATCGTCATCCTTCACCTGGACGGTGTGGCACAGGCAGAGAGCCCTGAAAAACAGCTCCTCCCGCTCCTGTGGAGACAGTCAGGGAAACTGTAACACCTCTGCCTGTGATGGGGAAAATGTGAAAGAGACAGCAGATTGGACAGACCCACAAAGCAGAGGTTAAGACCTCCTGGGGGGGTGTGGGGATTGTCATTAGCTTGTCTCAGTGGTTACAAAAGAGAAGCACGTGTGACTCCTTCATGCTCCAGAGTTTCCATGGCAACTCATATAAGTATTAACAGGCAATGAAGACTGAAAGAAGGGGTTTTGCTCATAATGACACTCCCAGGAAGCAGGACTGCATGGCTATAAACACACTCAGGAACGGCCATGTCCTGTGGAGAAAATGTCACCTATGTAGTTGGCACGCTCATTCCTGGACACCCTACTCTCCAGTTCCCGGCCACAGCGCCTGTGTGTCAGTGGCAGTCCGCTACTGGCAAAGAGCGCTGCACTTCGCATGACGTAATCTCCAGCTGTGTGCCTGCGGCCGGAAGTTCAGTTCTAACACAGTCCTGGAAGCAGATGCTAGGAGCCCCATGCTGAGCTGACCCAGATCTGAGTTCAGCCTCCTCAGTGATGACTACACCCCGTAGTCAAAGATTCCTGAGGTCCTCGGTAGCTGGGCAGCACAGTAGCCAATGATATGCTTCCCTGACAACCAATGTGGTGGGTGGGATTTGGGGTCGGTTTGGGAGGGTGTGGAGCTATGGCAGATCTCAAGATGGCCACAGGGCATCTACTCCTTCCTCTTTGTGAGAAAATGGTATCAACTGGAGCTCACATTGAAGGAGTTCTGACTGTGAACTGCTCATCTGTCATTAACAGGCCACTTCTGGCTCTCTGTGTTCTGCAGTCATGATTTACCCTTTAGTTACCAAACAACTGGTGCTGGAATTTGAACCTTGACTGGGGACACTAAGACCCGAGGCCATGGCACTCTGGTGTGTGTATGCATGTGTGTGAGCACAAGTGCATCATATACACATATGCATCTATGTGCATGTAAATACACATGTGTGTCTAGGTGTGGGTGCACACATTTGTTATGCACACGCAAGCTGCACACATCTAAACTGTATATTCACACTAGTCTCAAAATACTGCCTGTCCCACTTGTGCTGTGTTTTCTTCCTTCCTCCCAGGTCAATTCTATCGGAGGAACCACTGTCAAGACCTCCTGCCTTTTGGAAGGGAACACACCGTGGTAGATTCCAACCATGACCTCACTGAAGTCCTACAGTGATTACTGACTTTGTCATACTGCCCACATGATGGGGCAGCTTGTGTGTGAGAGAACCCCACCTACTCACATCCCTGCACCCCCAGGGCCTGCAACCTACCCTTCCACTGACACCTGGGGAAGAATCAATCATATCGATGCCAGAAGAGTCGGGAAGGACCTGCCCATTGCAGATGACATGAGGTACGTAGACGTGGCCCTCGATGCAGCACTCCTTGAAGGCCATGTTGTTCTCCGTAAGGGTGCCCGTCTTGTCTGTGAAGATGTACTCCACCTGAGGGTACCACACACTCAAGGTAAGACACATGTAGGCAGGTGACAATTCTTAGCCCAAGTCTATTACAATCCTAGTGGGACAGGAACTTCTGAGAGTCTGTCCAGATAGATTCACTATCACGTGTGAGTACCCACAGCACCCCCTTTCACCCACACAGGTGCAATTTCGGGAGAAGAGGCGCTCCCCTCCTCACACTGGTGACAAAGACAAGACAGAACACAATGTGGCCTTGCAGAACTTGGCCTCCAGGGAGCCAGGGCTCCATGTGTCTGTGCAGCGCAGGATGAGGGGAGCCCTGTCTCTCCTTTAGCAGGACGGCACAGATGAGAGAAGGAAGAACTTTCTCTATGGGGCTGAGAGGTTGAGGCTCCCAGGATGGGAAAAGGTTTAGAAGACAGAATACATGCGAGGAAAAGGGCAGGTATCTGTGAATTTGAGGTCAGCCTGGTTTACAGAGCTACTTTTAGGAAAGTAAGAGCTGTTATACAGAGAAATCCTCTCTTGAAAAACAAAGACAACAAACAAAACAAAACAATTATATGTATGTATGAGTGTTTGTGTATGGGTACACACACATGAGTTCAGATGCCTGTCGAAGCCAGAAGAGCGTGTTGGATCCCTGGGAGCTGGAATTATAAGTGGCTGGGTGCTGCCCTACAAGGGGACTGGTAACCAAACTTGGGACTCCTGAAAATGCAGTAAGTGTTCTAACTGTTGAGCCATCTCTCCAGTCAAAACACAGACACAAATCTCACTATTTCTGTTGGCTGGAGACACCAAGGAAGCATGGCTATTACTATTTTAGATAGGTCTGAGAGAGTCTTTAATCCAGGGGTCTGACATTAATGTTAGACTCCGGTGTTATGTGTTTGAGCTCATACCCTTCAACTTTACTGAATTTATTAGTTCTTTTTTTAATTAATTAATTTTTTTAAAAAAGAAAACAAACTATCTTTTTTCATAATACATACTAATCCAAGTTGTCCCTCCCTCCCCCACCCACTCCTCAGAGAGGGTAAGGCACATGGCTTTGGAGAAGGTTCAAGGCCCTCCCTACTATATCTAAGCTGAGCAAGGTGTCCATCCAAAGAGAATAGATTCCAAAAAAGCCAGTACAAGCAGTAGGGATAAATCCTGGTACCACTGGAAGAATTCTAATAGTTTCTTGTTGGTCTTCAGGGTTTTCTACAGCTCTGCAAACAGGAGTGATTTAACTTTCTTTTTCCCTGTTTGTGCGTCTGCTCTCACCTCCTACTCTCCTGCGGCACCATTCTGAGGAGCTGAGGAAGAGCTGGAGTCCTCTGCTGCTCCTGATCTTGCCGCCAAACCAAGAGGAAGTTTGATATTTCTTGATGGAGTGTAACGCTGGCTATAGGGCTGCTATTCATGACCTGTGTTGTGCTAGGATACGCCTTCTCCTCCTAACCTGCCAGGAAACTCCACACCCTCTGTGTCTGTGGATGGTTGCCTGGTCTGTACGCTTCTGTGACGTGGTGTGGACACTGACTGATGATCTGCTCGCGACGGCCCATCCCCCCACTGGATCGTGTCAAGTGGTCATTCTGGTGCTGTTGCTGTTTGCATCTGTGTCCATTGAGGACACTGGTGATCAAAGGCATGAGCTGCCCTGCTAGGCACAGACTGTTCACTCAACCACCTGTAGCACATGACACAGGCAGAGACCGCAGAGAGCAGTGACTCCACACCTGACTCCTAAGGATGCTGGGAAAGCCTTTCCAGCCTCAGTTCCTCCTCCATATGACAGGGACGGGAGGGTCACACAGAAAATGTGCAAAGCCCCTGAATGAGGTCTACTTGGAAGGCAGTCATTTCTGCTTCAGACACAGACATTGGCTGGTAGGCAGGTCTGTTTCACAGACAGAACTGCCATCTTGCGCTGCTGTGTACAGGGAGGCACTGATTTGGGGAGGCTGACTGGTCCTGACCCCAGTGGCCCAGCCCACTGAACACAGGCTGCAGCCTGCCTTGCTCAGGACAGGAAAGTTGAATTCTGTGGTGGACTCCAGGTTGGGAGACGTCCTGTCCCAGGGCATCCCTGGACACGGCCCTAACTGACTTCTAAAGAACAGACCAATGCGTTATGCAGGAGGTGGGCATGAAACACCCTGGAGGAACACATCAGAAAGCTGGAACTCTGACACGCAGTGTCCTCTGCAGTAACAAAGGCTTTCCCCAAGGTAGGTGGGGACATGTGCCTGTCAGTCTAGACTGTTTACATGGTATTGCTAGGTAACTGCAAGGTAGATCCAATTCAAATGGATTATTTATTTAATGAATTGCCACTTGCCAAATGGCCCTTCCAGTGACATAAGGATGGGAAAGTATAGGTACCCAGGTTTCTTCCCCTTTTGTTCTTGGCGATTTGCAGGGGCTGTTTGACCTCTGGCTCCCTGGCTTTTCTGTTATTGCACCGGCCTGAGGGTTTAGCTTAGAAAGAACTTGGCTCTCTTTTGTTATGGCAATTCCACCTGTAAACAAGGTTCCAGCCCTATATGCCTGCCCTATACGCCTGCCATGCCTGCCTCCCACAGCTGCTCCTGGCCTTAGGAGCCTGTCATCCTCTTCCACTGCTCCTGATGGAAGGGGGCTTTGCCCTTTTGCCCCCTTGCCCCCTAGTATATATACCCGACTTGAGTTTAATAAAGTTGCCATTTACTCTTTGGTGAATGAGCAGGTCTCTTGCTGTCTGTGTGCTTCAACCCTTAGGATATTCATCCATTCTTGTGGGCTTGGTTCGGGAAAGCGCGCGCCTGTTCCAAGGTCTGGGTATTCACAGAAAAGTGCGGTGGGCAACAGGAAAGGTCAGAGACCCCCCGTGAGGCTGGATGAGATGGAAGGAACCAGTCTTTCCTATGCAGCAACACTGAGGCCTGAGGCCTGCAGTCAGCAGATTGAGTGGTGCCAGCCTTCTCTTCCTCTGCAGGACCCTGGTGACCTCATAGAGAGCACAGGCAACAGCTGTGGTGTGCACCAGCGCTGTCCTCACAAGGGGAGGCCCCTGGACGGCTGTCCCAGATGCTGAGACTGCTGGCTCACATCTGCTGTCTCATCTGCACTGCTCTGGAAAGGCAGATCTCTGCTGCTCGTCATAGCACAGACCACACAGGACACCCTGATTTTCAGCTAAAGACCACGGTTCTGCAGACCACGCATTCATTAACTCTACAGCACACCGCCCCAGGAAACTGCCCTAAGCTTCTGTTTGCTCCTCTTGCTTGCTGTGAGGTGAAATGTCATATATAAAATGAAGGGATGCCTCACGGAAGTGCTGTGAGAGTGGCCTTTCACCAGGCTCTGCATTCTTTCAGCTACAAAGCCCAGGATAAGTAAGCAAGGACTGTGCTTACTCCTCTCGGCTAGGGCAGTCATCACTTTTTCACATTATAAAGTTAAAAGAATCTTATTGACTGTTATTATGTAAACTAAGTTTAAAAAGATACACTCAGGAAAAACAAAACCACTGTCAGTGTATTTCCACTGTTGCCCTTAACTGATTTTCACCATTGCAGCATATCTGCAGGCTGAGTGCAAGACCTGCATGAACTGCCAGTAATCAAGGAGAGCCCAGGCCACTAGGGCATAGTCAATTAGCCTTAGTAGGGCTAAGAAAGCAGGCAGAGTCTCTAGAGGATACCTACCTGTCCCAACTCCTCGTTTAGATCAGACGTGTTAACCAGAGGCCCTTCCCCCATCTCCTCATCAAACATGTCTTCATCCCAGGTGATGAAGTAGGAGCCAAGGAACTTCTGCATCTCCACTGTGACATACATGGACACCGGGATGATGTAGTTGAAGAGGACCATGAAGGCCAGGAAATCAGTGAAGGCCCTGAGAAACTGAGAGCATTGACTGCGTAAGAAAGCGGTAGGTCACACGGAGAGGACAGGAAACCTCAGATTGTCAGCTCCTACCCCAGTCAGATAAGCACAAGTACTTTCACCCGCAGACAAAGACCCACTGGGAACTTCTGTCTGTCATGTCTTGCTGAGGCCAAGAGTAGAATTAGATGTCTGGTGGAGAGATAGGGAGGGACAGGGACAGAAGCTCACGCTAACCACACCAGCAGGGATGTGGAGAGGTCATACTAAGTAGGGCCCAACGGGAATGCCACTTTTGAGTACTCATGATGCCCCTCTGTAACTAACAATCCTCAAACTTAGGACGAGATGGGACCTTGCTATATAGTGACTCCTCCTTTCTCAGGGATTACAGGCATGCCCCGCCACACTCAGCTCTGGGGGACTTCTCTGTATAGTTTATTCCTCTTTGACGCTATTAGGGAGAGGCAATGTGTCAGCTGGAACACAACATCATGCAGGGTCTGTGCTTGCATGCAGGGCTACATTTGCACCAGCCTTGACGTGATGTCAAGGCACATGGCTCTGCTCTGAGGTCAGAGCCTTTTGTTCCAAAGTTACCACAAAAAGCAGCATTCATCTCAACAATGTGCTGAGTTTTGAAAATACCAAAATGATTTTGGTCCTTTACACATTTCTTTCCAGGCTTGTTCATTCTGGTACCCAAGGACAGCAGGCAGCTCCCACCTGCCTACACCAGGTGCCAGTGATGCTCTCTGTCCTAAGCTGGGGCAAGGTTCCATTCTGCCTGAAGCAAATCTGCCTTTGTAGTTTCCTGGTGCCATCTTTTTTTGTGGCAATGGTCTAAGGGCTACCTCCCCCACACAAGGGAAGTGCTTTCATACCAGATTCCTCTGACGCTCGGACTCAGTCTTCTGGTTGTACCATGGCTCATCTCGGAAGGGCTCACTCTGCCACACATACTTCAACACTGTGTTGATCAGGGCCTTGCTCACCAGGATGCAGAGGTACACGATCAGGAATGTATTCATTGACCTATAGCGAAACAGCCCAGCCTTCAGATGTCCTTCCTCACCATGAAGGGACAGCACAGGGCACTCAGCAATGCGCCCTGGAGGGCACTGTCCAGCCTGACCCAGTAAGATAAAATTCCAACTTGTTCACAGCCACCTTTGCCAATGCTCAGGATGTAGGACCAGAACCATGGGAAGAGAGGGAAAGATACATACTGCCACATGGCTGATGAACCTCTCTGAACCATGGGAACTCCTGCTCACAAAAAAGGGACAACCAGAGTCAGCTTAGAGCTTGGTGATTCTCACTCTAGGGTGAGCAAGAAGTGAGTACCAGAGAAGTGCATGATGCTGGAACATGGCTGTACTGAATCAAGGAGAGGCAGATTTGGGGTGAGGCTTTGTTTTCACGGTCTTCTCTTGAAGCCCATGTATCACACCCAGATGTCTGCAAGCAGAGCATCCTAACTGATAAAAAGCCCATCTCCATTCTTACACTTAACACAGCCACAGACAGGCCCAGGGATGGCATCCCTAGAGTCCCTGCCAGTATCCTACTCCTGGTAATTAACTAGCTCCTGCTGCTTCACTCTGTGACATGGAGGCCATCCACACCAAGCAAGGGGCAGAGATGACAAAACCTCAGACTCTCTCCTAAGTTTAATCTCATCGTAGCAGTTGTCAGGGCTTTACTGTCTAATGGAAAATATTCACTCTGCTCACAGTGACGTCAGTAAACCACATCAGGACACACTTGGTTCCTATCAAGTCCCTGGGATGGAAGGGGCTGAGTATGACCCTCATTTTGAAGTCTGCCTGAATCAATGACTGGAGATATGAGGCATCTGTGATTGATCTAAAATTAGAACCTGGGGGAAAGACTTACAGATAGCGTGTTAGCAGAGAAAGGGGTGAGGCCATTTATCTCACTGGGAGGAAAGCAAGAAAATCTCCTGGGTAATGGACTCTGTGGTTAGCAGCTCCAGTCCCTGCAGAAGTGGGCCCCTAGGACACTGTGGGTCCCACAAGGGCGCTCTGGGTCCCTGGAGGATGCTGTGGGTCCCCCAAGGATGCTGTGAGTCCCGCAAGGGCACTACTGCATCTACGGGGACCAGTGATGGCTAGAAGGTAGCAGCAGGGGAGTGACCTTACTTTTCCACAGCAGATCTCTTTTGGGACTTGGACTGATAGTTCAGAGCCATCTTGGTCTCCATGCCTGTGTAGATAGCCACACCTGGAAGCAGAAGAGTCTGTGAGATGCCCATGCTCTGGAGAAAAGGATGCTCACACAACAGGTCACATCTCCAACTTAACCAGGAAGTGAGCTTCCCAAGGAAGCTGGATTCTTCACACTCAGGAGTTCCTGTATAGGATCCAATCTTCACATTATATTCTTCAGTCCAAATACTAATATATTGGGTGATTGGGCAGCAGGGTACAGTGTATATTTCAAAAGTTATTTCAGTCAATTAAAACAGAAAACAGTGTATTATCAATGGGAGGTATTAACAGTGACAAGCAGATTTAGAGAAACTTTCCTTCATTACAATGCTTGCTGAATATCTTCCTGGATAGAGCTTCATGTTCCTGAGTCATGAACTGAGGAGGTCCTTAACAAGCAAGTCATGATCTTCACTGTCATGGCTCATGGGTTCAGATTATACCACAACACTCATCTCTTAGCAGGTCACCCCGCACCACGTCTGTAGTACGTTAAGGCATCTAGTGGTCTCTCAGGGTGATGTAGAGTTTAGTTTGCTAAGCGTGTCCTAGATTTTAGAAATGATTACCAGTGGTTGGCAAATTAAAATATTTACCAAAGATCTTCTCTGTGTTTTTGAGTGTGGCGCCTCTGAGAAGCAGGTTTTCTGATCCTAACGGCCTGGAAGATAAGGAGACCAGAAGTGGTGGGATGCAAGACTGAAAATCAGTTCAATAATCCTAAGAGGAAGCGGTGTAAGTGTGTATTTGCTCACACTGAGATTACCAGAGTCTACCTGCATAGGACTCCTCTGAGGGCAAGACATTGCCTGTTGGATTGTTTTTAGTCCCGTTTTCCTGGCCTGGTGCTTCACAGTGGCATTTGAGAGGCCTCAAGGAAGCAGGACACCTCACCCTCAAATAACCAGGAGCCCGAATGCTTCAGTGACATTTCCACAGAAGCCACAGGCAGAGTCTTCAGATAGTGCCCCTATCTGCTCCACCAGCAACACCTAGATGTGAGAATGGTACCCAGACCAACTACAAGAGATCTGAGGGCAGGGCCAGCAGCCCTCTCCCAACACAGCTCTAGTGTGAGGGCTGCTGGGCTGCGGGGCCTCAAGATGTTCTGAAAAGGCTAAAACCTTGAGTTTCACGCCTCCTTCAGCTGCTTCTCCCATTCTTAGGACTAGGAGACGCCTCCTTAGTGTAAGCACATTTTCGAGTGTGAACGGAGGCTGGGCCTCTGGGGCCTCTCTGTGATGGAAGTTCAGACGCAAAAATTATCCACAGATAGTAGCTGTGAGCCTGTCTTCTAAGCAGTGAGGGGAATTCAAAGCAGCTGAACTAAATGTGTGAATCCTACTGCTGCTTCCTAGTAATTCCAGTGGATCAGAGAAAAGGGCATCCCAGTGTGTCAGAGAAGAGCCCGTTTGCCTTTAATTTACTCACTTACTTATCTGTCCTTTAGGACAGAAATGAACACACAGAATATTACACCCTTAGTGGGGCCATTGTGTTTGGCCAACGTGGTTCAGACTGTGCCTGGAAGACGCCAGGGAGGGAGGGGCTGTAAGCTACTCAGGCACCTCCCTGAGGTGGTCGGCAGGCAACAGGCAGGTCCTTTGGTCTGACAGTCATTGACAACAGCTCCCCGGCTGCGGGGGGCTGTCGGCTTCTATTAGTAACTTGCTTACAATTCATGTTATAAACGTTAATTAAAACAAATGGCCTCACCTTAAATGGTCTCAGACAGCTCTAAATATAATGTACTTGACAAAATACTTTGCTTCTAGAGTGGATAGACTGAAGAAGAAATATAACTGAATGGGGAACCAACAAAAGCAAACATTTTCTCCCTGTTTATATTATTTCCAATATTTAACAAACAAACAGCCCTGATGTCGAAAGACTGAGCTAAAGCTAGTATTAAAACACAAAGTGGATTAGGATCACGGTCTCCAGCTTGGGGCCACAGCTTCACCTCAGTGTGAAGCTCAGGGTCCATAGCACTTGCCCCCTCAGTTTCATTGATGGTCATGAGAACCTCATTTGCTCTTTCATCCTAAACAAAATCAGCTCTCCACACTGTCTAGTTTCCAAAGCAATAAAAAACTCCTCTTTGAGAACTAAAGTTCTGCTTCCACCCTCCTCTGAGGAAATGCCCTACTAACCTCCTCACAGATGGTGACCACAACGCCAGGACAAGGGCCTGAATGGTGGCACCAGACTGTGATCCAGCTATCCAGGGGGCTGAGGCAGGAGGATCCAGTGTTCAAGGCCTTTCTAGCTCGTAGCAAGAGACGGTCTCAAATATAAGTAACACAAACAAAAAAAAACCCCTACTAAAACACATGCCAAGAAGTGCACAGGCTGTCCCTTAGAGCAGCTGTTCACGGAGTGTCCCACGAGAGATAGGTACGGAGACTCCGGTGATGGCTTACTGTGTGGGGAACTGTGACTGGTGTGTAAAATGAATAAATAAAAAAACCATCCATGGGCTTCACGGCATCGACAGGCGCAGACAGAACCCCAGAGTCAACATGGGAGAGGGGATCTGTTGATGAGACAGGACCCCGCCTTCTAAACAGGTGACGTGGAAGAACTCATCAAAGAACGGACACCTAACTAACATAACAACAAAGAGGATAAAGGCCTGGACTCCCAAGAAAACTCACCTCACCACAGGGTCGTTCAGGTCGTTGTAAACATTGATGCGCCCCACAAACCTGGCAACAGAAAAGCTCACGTCGTTACTCACAGGACCAGTGGGGCCCCCAGAATGAGCCACAGCTAGCTCGTCCTGCTCTGCAGCCGGCCAGGGCGGCCCAGCCACTCTTTCTTCCTCCTTTCTTATCTCCCTTCTCTGCTGCTCCACCCACGGCTTAGAGGACATTTCCTAACTCCACAAAGAGCGTGGGCTTCCCTCTGGGCAGACGTCTTCAGCTGTGCACCCACTCCTGCCGGGGCCGGTGTGCTCCGCTTACTTGTAGAGGTCGGGCTGTGGCTGTTCACACTCGATAGTGGCATGCAATCCGTCCACATCCTCCTCTGTGTGGAAGCCCTTGGTGTCCTGCACAGCGTAGTGAGTCTGCGGGTGGAGAGGAACCATGAGCTACCCCCAAACCTCATCCCACCTGGTCTCTGGCGCCCACCCCAGAATCTGGTCTTCATGTGCATCGTAAGCTGTACTGTGAGCCTAGGTGAGGGCTACAGAAAGATGAGCCTCTGCTACGGTTTGACTTGGTGAGGAACACGAGCTCTGACTCTTCACGCTCACCCAGAATCCTCATCTTAAAAGCAGCAGGACAAAGGGCAAGCCTGGGACACCTTTAAACCTGACACTTGATGTGCCCGCCCTGTTAAGAGCTGTCAATCGCTGACATGCCCCTCCTCGTCTAGGCCCAGTACTCTTGTTCCTAGGAGGTACCAAAAGCAGCCACTGGTTTCATTTTCCAAATTCTGCTACCAATTGTCCTCCTATCATTGTTTCTACGCAGCCGTTCAGCTATCTGGACAGGAGGTTGCTAGGCCAGTGGTGTTAGGCCGCCCTTCAGAACCCAGTGTAGTGGGTCTGAGCAGGAGGCCTAAGAGCTGCATTGCTAAGCCGATACCAGCGAACACTGTGCTGCTGTTCAGGGCCACATGGTCTAGCTAGCACCTATGGGGACTCTGGACAGATAAACATTCTTCCTCCTTTATCCTGGGGGAATAAAAGAGGGAAGAAGAGGGGAGGGGAAGAAAGAAGAGGGAAGGGAGGGGGAGAAGAGAGGAAAGAGATGTGCCAGTGGCTTTCAGGAGAGGGCACCCCTGCTCTTCTGTTTATGTTTCTAGTAATAAGTGCTGGAGTGGTGGTATGACTGAGAGCAAGTGGACAGGTGACCATACATCACCATTTAAGTCATTTAAGCACTTGCGATGTGTTGAGAATTTGGGGATCCCCACCCCACCCCACAGAGAACTCCATAACCATAGATAAGCTTAGTCTGCACCCAGGATGTCACATCTGCTGCCAAAGCCCAGTCCGCTAAGACCCTGGGTTGCACCCCAAATCCGGGAACGTTACTTTATGGCTCGACTCTCCATCTAAGCTGGCGGTGGTGACATGGCAGGTCCCATCTGCCCGGTTGCTGGAGAGAAAGATCAGGTCACAGGGAAAGGTCTCATCTTCCTTCACCATGACAATGTCCCCAACCTGCAGGATACAGAGAGAGTGGTCACTGAGAGGCCACCTTTGTGTGACAGCTCACTCTGGGCTGGAACTCACTCTCCTATTGTATCCAGAGAGTGCTAAGACACCATCATGGTGCCTTATGGGATAACAACATGATTCTAGGAAAGACTCATGCCCAGGCTTTCTGTCGAGCCAAAGCCTTTCTGGATCCCGTGGGCCACTAAAGACCAGAGCAGCTGTAGGGAACACCAGGAAAAACTGTCACAATGAAAGCAGAGAAAAATCCAACAGAAGGGAAGGCTCTCCTGGAAGCAGTAGTACATGAAAGGGCATTTATACAAACATGTTTAAAATAAACGTGTACACAGCCACATATCAATAGATCAGTAAGTGGAATGGGGCTAGCAAACACACATATGTGTCTTTGATCCTTGTGGGTGGGGTGCTGCTCTACCGTAGATGGTTGGGCACTGTGACCACATCCTGAGACACCTTCTGACCTCAAACTCTACAGTTGGCTGGTGTCAGGCTGGGGAGAAGTTCATCCTATACCAGGGTGGCTGAATGCCCTGGCTGGACCAGACTGCTATCCGAGATATGGTCAGGACAGATAGCAGAGCTGCCTAAGAGGGAGCGGGTGGAGTGGGGGAAGACTTGGGCATGGGAGGAGTACCAGGAGGAAGAGAGACAGGAAGAGAATGAGTCTAGATTTACACTCAGATGATGGCTGAAGTCAGAGCTGGGCTGTGACCCAGAGACAAGGGTGAAAAGCCATCCTCTGTCTGCACATACACAAGGGCTTTCAAGTGGCCAGCACAGGCAGAAAGCAAGCTGCTACAACGATTTAAACCACCCAAACATACAGCAAAATGAGACAGGGCAGTGTCGCTACCCAACAACGGGTACATAATGGCCAACCTGCTTTGAAAAGTTACTTTAAAAATGATTCTGAAAAACACTGGTAAACCAGGAAGATGTGGACTCGCCACTTACTCTCAGCTTCCGACTCTGCTTCCGGACCAGCTTGCCATGCTGAATGAAGTGCACAGGACACTGGTTCATGGCATTGTCTGCCTTGTGGCGAAGCCAGTCTTCATAACCCTAAAGCCAGACAAACAGGGAGAAAAGATGTGTTTGAAGTAATTATGGCAAAGTATGGTCTAGCCTGGGGTTTCCTCACACCTCCCTGGTCCTTATGGCTGGTCATTCTCACACCAACTATGTTTCTGCAGTTAAAACGGATAAAATCTTTGTATGTAGACTTCCATAGAAATCCAGGACCTATCCTCGGGAAAAATTCCTCCACAGGAAAAGTCTCAGTCAAAAGATGAGTCAGGCTACACAGTTCTGCAATGACAAAGTCCCCAGGTACTGACGGGGTCTGCCAACCACGCTCACCCCACCTGCACTGCGGACTTTCAAATGTGACCTAATGGGTCTGAAACAGAGGCAAACTGTTCTCAAACCTGCATTTCCAGACGGCTACCAAGTGAGCAGTAAGAGATAAACCAATAGCAAGTAACTGTACTTCTTTTTTAAAAATTATTGTTTTAGATAAGATCTCTGTCCTGGTTTTAAGTTTTGTTTCCCCCCTTTCTTCCTTTCAACTTAATATATGCTAGAGTTATTGAAAAAATTCTTCCATAAGATTGACCTATAGGCAATTGTTGGGCATTTTCTTGACCAACAATTGATGTAGAAGGGTCCAGCTCACTTGGGTGGTGCCACACCTGGGTACATGGTCCTAACTTGTATAAAAAAAACAGACCGAGCAATGTGGAGATGTCCACACCTGTCTGAAGACTCCAGGGTGAGTCTCGAGGCCAGACACCTGCAGCATGCACTGCTGGGTAGCTGTGCTGTTCTTTCGGGGAAAGAATTTACTTTGAAGCTGACATTGTGCAAATTACCCAGATGCCTCAAATAAAAAGGTGAATTCTAAATAGTGAAATGCAAATTCACAGTGCTCTGGCAGAAGCTACAGACACTCCTCTTAGTATTTACAAATGACTGTCAGTCAATGAACCTTGTTGGCATCGGGGACCCGTGTGTAAAGACATCACCAGGCACACACGGAGAGAGGAGAGCTATGATGGGTCGAATGCATTCTCTGGCTATCAGGGACCCGTGTGGAAGGCACCGCCAGGCACACACTGAGAGAGCTCTGACGGGCAGAATGCATCAAGCATCAGTGGGCAGAGCCTGCAGACCACAGACAGATGTTTTGCCGGGAGACATCTGGCCAGTTCTTCGGAGGCTTAGAGCAATTCTACCTGTGGACATATCCCCAGAATTAAGGATCTAAATCCATCAATCTATGTCCATCCACAGACATAATATACATAATGATTTGTTAATTAAAAATAAGCACAAAGGGGCAGGAAATGGGAAAATCAAAATAAACAAATAGATAAAAAGCCAGGAACAAAGAGCAAATCAGTGTCCACACAAATGCTCTGAGCAGTGCGCTTCAGCAATGTTAAGAGCACCAAACGCCCATAGACAGACTGTGGGATAAGGTAATGGGGGGGGGGTCCTAAGCAACACACCCCCAGAGTGTGTTGACACCGATTGGAACTCTGACATGCCACCGTGTGGGTAAATCCTGAGAACATTATGTTACCTGAAAAAGACCAGTTAGAAAAGTGTGTCCCGAGACTTTCGCAGACACAGTCACTGAGAAAGCACTCCCTCTAGGGTCGGCAGAGGCACATTCTGGGGTGAGGCCGAGCAGGGCCTGGGAAGCTGGACAATACACTAAACTGCTCTGCTTGGCTCACAATGTACAGACCTATTTTCCTCTCCCATTAACGACAGAAAAGTAGTGACTGACTGATTCTAACTCATTTCAATCTGAAGCAGAACCAACTTTCCACAGCCTTTCCACCCCCACTATGAGTTAGATGAAACAAATCACTCTGAGTGAAGGCAAATCCTTGTTGGCAGCATGGGCACCTGACTTCCTGCTTGTGAAATTATTTTTTTTAATTAAAAAAATTGAACAAACATTTTTAAAAAGTGACAATTTGATTTTACAATTTATGCAAAAATGAAAGGGTTGAGGCCAAAAATAATAGTTGTTCCATCTATACACTCAACTTCAAAACTTTACTACAAACCTACAGTAATGAAGCCAGTGTATAAGAAAGTCTCATGATGGAGATGTATCAGTTGAACAAATTCAGTATAGACACAACACTTAAAACGTGGAAAAGGGTCTTTCATCAACTGTTATTGAATACCCACAAGCAGAATAAACACATAGACAATCCAGCTTATATACTGTCTCATATTCAAAATTAGCATGAAACATTACCTAAATTAATAACTAAAATTATAAAATTTTTGAGAAAATGCTAGGGTAAATTTTTAAAAAATATTTATTTATTATGTATACAATATTCTGTCTGTGTGTATGTCTGCAGGCCAGAAGAGGGCACCAGACCTCATTACAGATGGTTGTGAGCCACCACCATGTGGTTGCCGGGGAATTGAACTCAGGACCTTTGCAAGAGCAGGTAATGCTCTTAACCACTGAGTCATCTCTCCAGTCCAAAAATGTGTAGCCCAGGCTGGCCTCGAACTCATGATCCTCCTGCCTGTGCCTCCTTCAGCAAATCCTACCGGCATGTACCACCACAACCGGCACTAGAGTAAATTTTAAGGCACTGAAATTACATCTCAGTCTTTGCTGTGCTGTCTTATGGCTAATGTTAGCTCAGCAAGTGAGAAAGGAATCCCCCTGACACACTCACACAAAACAAATAAATACATTACCCAATGGGAAGTCATGTTAAAGGAATACAGAATCTAACTGAATGAACCAGCAATGGCTAAAGCAAGAACAATTTAAACATTGAAGCATTATTGGATTATAGCGCAAAGTTTAAAAGAAATACTTATAAACCCATATTGATATGAGTAAACCACTGGCTAAAAGTAAATGGGCATCAGACAAATCTTCCTTGAATAAGAACCTGAAACATTTACATACTTGGTGACGGAGGAGACGATGCACGACTATTAGGCTGTGCTTGGTAACCTGCTCCAAAGCACAGTGTGAAAGAGGGAGGGGCAAAAGGACTTCACAGTAAGGAAATAAGGCAGGCAGCTGTACCGCAGGTGGGAGATGGAGTCTGGCTGACATCCCTGTGGGAAGTCAAACTGATGGCACAGACTTTTGATTTTAAAAAATGGCACAGCACATCTGCAGCCGGCCCTCAGAGACCTAACCCCGGCCTAAATATGAAAAGATGAAACATGCCATGCTGTACAGGACCTCCAGCCACAGGAAAGCACAGGTGAGTGTCTGGCCTGTGAGTCTTACCTGCTTGATGGCTGTAACAGTGATGACGAAGAAGAGAGGGAGCCCGCTTGTCACCGGACTTGTGGGTGTGTCGATGATCAACTGTGAGGACAAGAGAGCCAGGAGTAACCTTGAAAACACTTGCTGGCAACCTCAGACCGTGGGCCGGCCTGGCAACACGACTTCTCCCAGCCAGCTTCCACCTACCTAAAGCACTCTGTTGGCGCCCTCCTTGCCCTGCAACCTGGGCAAGAGGGACACCGCCCTGTCCTAGTGACTATAATGCTGAGGGAGACTCCTTAACTAAGGGGTGTGGTTAAGGAAGCTGTGTCAGCACGTGGCGAGGGCACACGTCTGGATACACTGGTTCATTTAGTCCATTAGGCAGGTGCCGCATTTGAGTTCTGACAGAGCCCATGCTGGGGAGATTTTAGTCATTTATAGCCATACTTAGAATAGTTTAGAGAAATATAACATGGCTGTTCACATAGTGTAGTCCAGCAGCTGTTCCCTGCCCACACCCCTGCTGGGGCCCTGCCCCTCTGTCTCTCTGGATGTACATCTGCTTTGCAGTTTTTGAGCACTAAGAATGAGCCAATGGAGACGCCAGGGAGGCTGGAGACCTTGCGCTGTCTCCTCCTGGGGCTGGAGTCAGAGAACCCAAGAATGAATGTCACATGCTTGCTAATTTTAAGTGATTGTAGGTTGCTTACTTGAGAAACAAATGACATTTGCTGAGACAGCGAGCCAGGACCTTCCTTACCTGCACCAGGAAGATGATGAGAAAATAAAAGTTGGCTATTCTTCTGAACTGTTCAAATAGGTTCTTGGGTATGAAGTTCCAAAACGTGTACTGTGTAAAACAAAAGCAAAAGTAGACCACTTACGCCTTGTTCTACTACATAAGAGCAGGGGGGAGTGCAGAGCAGAAATGTGAAGTCTTAGATACAAACTCACCAGAATTTAGATTTCTGACATTTTGTCAATGCTGTACACTGTCAAGCTGCTAAGACAGAGGGTAGGTACCCTCTGAAGTAATCACGTCCAAATGCCCAGCCAGTCAGGTCAAGGCAGAAAGCAAAGCACTCGGTAGCAGTTATTGTGTGTGTATAGAATATTTTAACACTCAGGGGCCCAGTGGAGACTTGGCACAACTCTTGCCAGAGTAGCCACTTCCTGAGTCCTCTCATCCCTGCTCTGTTGTCCAGCACAGTGGGGAGATGCGGGAGAAGACACAGAGTCTGAGCTGCCTGGAGGCTGCTTCCCTGATGGCAGGGTAGTGTCCACGCTGCAGGGTGCTGCATCTGTCTGCAGCCACATGCAAGGGCCTTGCTGTGTTTGTAGGGTGAGGAAAGATGGTGGTTCCCACACTCTGTATTCTCCAAACTGACCACTCTGTCTGTGCTGAGAACAGTGGCTGCCCTCACCACGCCCATGGTCACTTGCCTTTCCGCATGAATTCAGAGTATGAGGAGACCCTCGGAGTCACTGGTGGGGACTTAGTGCAGACACAAGCCTCTGCGGTGGTAGTATCTCTGTGTGTCCTTACTCTCTCACATTGCTGGGGTGAACACAGGATTTTTTTTAATATATTTTGTTTTTTATACAATTCCCCCACCAAATGGAATTTATATTTTTGTTATTATTATTTTGTTTTTTCTGACAGTGTTTCTCTGTGTAGCCTTGGCTGTCTGGAACTCACTCTGTAGACCAGCTGGCTTCTAACTTGTGGAGCTCCACCTGCCTCTGCCTCCCGAGTCCTGCCTGGGATTAAAGGAAAACGAAATGATTTTCAGGCCCCATTCTATGAAGCCAACCTTATTTCCAAGCCTAGATTCATCACTTACACATTAGTTAATCAAAATAATCCCAGTACCCACAACCAGTAGCTCACAACTACCTCTGACTCCAGCTCCAGGGATCTGATGTAGCCTTTTGGCCTCCACAGGCACCTGTACCCACACATGTGCATTTCTCTATACAGACACATACATACACATAATCCAGCACTTAGGAGGCAGAAGCAGGTGGATCTCTTTGAGTTCAAGACCAGCTTGGTCTACATAGTAAGTTTCATGACAACCAGGGCTATATAGAGAGACCCTGTTTAAAAAAAATCCCCTAAATTTCCATAGTATGTTACTTAGCAACAAAGTCATATTGATGGAAACCCAATGTTTCCACTATTGAAATATTTACAGGTGACAATCATTTGGCATCAGGATTTTTTGATCTCAGAGGATCAAGGGGAAAGACAGGTGCAGCTGCCGGCACATAGTTCAATATGGGGTGACCAACCGCTCGCTGTATATGGGGAAGACTTTTAATAGGTTTCTACTTTTATAATTTTTTTTAAAAACTGGGGGTGGGGCTGGGAACACAGTTCAGTAGCAGAGTACTTGACTAGCATGTACAAGGTGTTGGGTTCAATTCCCAGTATTACAATGTGTAAACAAATAAATATTTTCTATTTGGAAGTTCTGGTAGAATCTTTCCAAACACACTGATGACACTCTCCTATCAGTCAATGAAGAAAGATTTATTTGGAAATAAAGAAAAGGATCAGAATCTGGAAGAGACCATGGGCCTCTGGCATGTTGTCTACATAATAGAGGAGAGCTTGGGATTTATGATGCAGGCCATTATGGAAGGAAAATCCTGAGCTGTAGCAGCCTCGAAGCACAGGTGGCTTTAAGGTCATAGTTGGAGCTTTCAATGTAGCTGCTAAATGAGAGAGTCTTCATGACTGTGCCAAGGTGCGGCTGAACTGGCTCTGTGGGCAGTCCCTGGAGGTGAGTGGGACCACACAGCTCCACCACAGTGGAACACAGCAGCTGACCCTGCTGTACACATTGTATTTCCATGCAGAGGGCCATGTGCATGTCTGGACCCGTGGGCCCTGAATGTTACTGTTCTAGTGCTCTGAGAGTCCACCATGTGCCAAAGAACCAGGACTGCTCTGCAGACCACCACTATGAAGACCCTGCCACGGCTGAGAACCATCAGCTTTGCAACCCCACGGTTCACACAATGTTAATCAGTTATTACTGCTGACTACATATACCAGAAAATCAATGAGATAATTTAAATGTCCATAAACATGAGACGCCTCTGTAACAGAGAAAACAAGTGGCTGGAGAGGTGGCCCAGTCAGTCAATAAGCTGCCTGCCATGCACACATGAGGACCAGAGCTTGGATTCCCCACACTCAACAAACACTAGGGCATAGAAGTGCCAGTCACAACCCCAGTGAGGTGGTGGAGACAGGGAGACCCTGGAACCAGCCAGTCTAATCAGTTAGTAAGCTACGGGTTCAAGGGAGAGACAGTCAGTTTGACCTGTGGTTTTCACATGTACATGCACGTATGTGCACATGTGCAGCCCATAACTGAAGCACTTTATTGTGAGAGCTGGTACCGACAATGGGATAGTGGCAGGTCAGCCACATCTTTTATCTCGCTGATCTGTGCTTGTCTACGTATTTGTGGAGATCAAGGCCAGCACACAATGCCTCACTGTCATCCACACTCATGTATCGGGTTCTAGTTCCACCCTCAGAACAGCAGTGGAAAGTAGCCCAACCTGGAAAAGTCTGTTATCACTGACGAGGGAGAGGAATAAAGTGGCTGCTTCACCTGTAAGGGGGCTGGGAAAAAGGAGAAGGCATGTTGAACTCCAAGAGATAGTTGATAAGCCCTGCTTCCTCACACTCATGGAGACTTTAGGCCAGGGTTCACTGGGTTATCTGTCCTCTTCCTGAGCAGATCATCCTGCTGGCCTCTCTGTTCCCATATTGACAAGAGGGAGCTCACAGGCCTCTTTGTGTTCACACTGAGCAGAACATGCCCACTGGTCTCTCCATGTTCAC